GGGAGGAAAGATGTAAGGGACTGGACAAAGAGAACTGTGTCTATATGCATTTCAAGTACAACCAAGATGTTTTAAAATGTCCTATTTAATCTATGAGTTTAATTGCTATTAATCTAATGAAGACATTTTCTCAATGTTAAACAGTTATTCAGGGAGAAAAATGGGGGTGCTTTTGTAGAGGTGTAGAAAATGAATTTAAAATTTTGTATGTCTTGCCTAGTGTTCGATGTGAGCACTGTTAAATTTTTCTAGGCTTAGTTTGCTATACCCTAAGATTATGAAAATACTTACTAACCAGCATTTTCTCGCTTCTGTAATCTTGCTTGCTTAACACATTCCTCCCCTTCCCCTTTTTTCTCCCGCCAAAGGACGCCCAAGCAGAGAACAACAAATGTCCTTACTTTAAAATCAACTAATCAGGCCCCCCCATAATCTGAAACCTCCCCTATGCCATTTGTCTCTGTCTATAAAAACGCTGTACAAACCCTGATCGGGGCCTCTTAGCGTCACTGGCAACGAGTGCGCGGAGGTCCAGGTTCGAACCTGCAATAAACAACCCTTGCCGCTTGGCTTTGAAAAAAAAAAACAAAAAACAGTTTTTGGCTTTATTTTTACTAATATTCTGCTTATGTTATTTTCTAATTTCTTTTTAAAATTTCCTTACGTAACATTAAGATTGTTCGAACTTAAAAATACATTCCTTCAAATGAGAAGTCAGAGAGCAACACTGTCAACCCATAACCGTGTACAATGTTAGCGCAGGACTGAAGCATGCTGTGCCCTAGACGTGGGACGTCTGTTTGAGACAGTAAACTCATTCTCAGGTGAAATACGCATGAGCTTTTCCCCAAATCCCCAAGTAGTGCCAGTATTCTGGGAGGAGGATTTTTCATTCAGTTACATTTTAGCCCCTGTATGCTTAAGAGTCTCATCCTTAAACTGAAGAACAGTTTTCTATGCATTTCATGTAAGTTAAGAGCAAGGCATAGCATCCTTTAAAGTTTGTTTGTTTTTGGAGAGAGAGAGAGAGAGACAGAGACAGAGCGAGCAAGGGAGGGGCAGAGAGGGGAGAGAGAATCCCAAGCAGGCTCTGCACTGTCAGCACGGAGCCTGAGGCGGGGCTCGAACTCACAAACTGTGAGATCGTGACCCGAGCCGAATCCGAGAGCCGGACGCTTCACCAACTGAGCCCCCAGGTGCCTCGAGGCATAGAATCCTTTAAAGAGAAGTCACCTATCCCTCTGCCAGGCAACGTGGGGATGGGCATCGCAGGGCACAGGGCAGCACACGTAAGCCGTCCGTGCAGGAGTATTTTACCAAACCAGAGGAAGGAGTGGAGATTTTTTATTTCCACAGATAGTTTAGTGCCAAAGACAGAAGATTCTCTCAACGCCCAGAAATGATTGATCTCTAACACGCACTGGCTGACACCTTGAGAAAAAACAAGGTAAATCCGCAGCTGTCCTCCAGCATCTCCCTCAGCTCCCCCTCCTCCCCACTTGGGCAGACACACGCGGACAAGTCTGACCTTTTCAGCCATGCTCAGCTGCTCCTGGACCCTGAGGAGGTCGTGCTTGGCTGTTGCCAGATTCTCCTCCAGGGACTTCTGGTTTTCTGTCTTGTCATTAAGTGTCTTCTGAAACTCACTCTTTAAAGCAGCAACTGTGTTTTCCAGGTCGTTCAAGTCTTGGGCCTTTATAAAATCCTACGGAAAACACATGCACTGACATAATTTCATGTTGACATCCGAACCGGCAACTGTTCTACGACAGTCATTCAACCTCGTGACATGAGAGCAAATGTTTTGGGCATGCACGTCGGCCTCCCCGGCCAGCCTGGGTAAGCTCCAGATCCCTGAGGGTCGCCGGCGCGCCCAGTCACCCTCGGCCCTAGAGCACGCTGTCCTGCACACGGCAGACGCTCAGTGGCCGCTGATCTCCAAATCTGCGAATTGTCATGTATGCGTTGCTGGAACTCCACAGAGGGACAGGGGAGAGGTGAGATCTCAAATCTGACAAGGTTGTGTGTGCCCTGGGGTAGGGAGGGCGGACGGGTTTCTGTTTTGAAAAGTCAACTTAGAAAACATCCTGAAGAAATGTTGAGTAACACAGATGGTAAAATAATCAACTTAATACGAAAACTTTCTATCAAAAATTTAATAGACGTAGGTCTTGGTCATTATTTACATTAAAATATCATGAGAGCCTAATTAATGCTTACTGGTTATACGGTTTGCTAAATGTAGAAGATCTTAAGTTTTTGTTTTTTAAAGCAATATGCATGTTTGCACACCCTGTCGGCACAACAAAAAGCAGCTGGATCTTGTTTTTGACTGCATAAACTTATAACGGAAAAAGCTGTATTACTAGGCCAGGAAAATGGTCGATAATTGCTAAATACGAAGACGGAACAGAACTACCAACGACAAACTCCTCACTCACGTTTGAAGTCTGGTCCTTACGAAGGTTTTATTTCTGCACAGCTAGTGAAAGCGTGCACATGTTTTCTTTTGCCCAGATCTTAAAAGTAGTTTTAAGAGAAATTCTTCATCCAAAAATGTTTGCAATTGTTTTGAGAAATTATGAAGCTGCTCTGGAGTGTTTAGCTCTGTTTTCTAAATCTACAGTCCTTGATACAGGATTGAAAATCATAGATCTCTCCTTTGTTATTTTTGTAGCCATCTAAGAATTATCCTATTTTATTTTTACTTATTATTTTTTTATCATTTTGTAAATGTTTATTTTTGAGAGAGACAGAGCACGAGGGGCGGGGAGGGGCAGAGACACAGAATCCGAAGCAGGCTCCAGGCTCCTAGCTGTCAGCACACAGCCCCACCAGGGGCTCGAACTCATGAATCATGAGATCTTGACCTGAGCCGAAATCGGACGCTTAACCGACTGCCACCCAGGTGCCCCAGAATTATCCTATTTTAAAGACGTCTCCAGATGAAATGACGTCATGGCTGAGATTTGCCTCAAAGAAACGTGAAGGGAGGGGCGACGGGGAGGAAGCGGGAAGGCAGCCTGGCCAACCCCAGGGGACCGGGAAGCCGAGTGACGGGCACCGGGGTGCATGACACCGTACCCTCTACTTCCGTATGAGTTTGAAGTTTTCCATAAGGAAACCATAGAAGTGCAATGAAGCAAGTCGGGGACCGCTTGGCGGACATCAGCAATGACGGTACAACCACTGGAAAAGCTGGGGCTACGCTGAAAACTCCCTCCAGCGGCCCCGCTGACAGGAAGTCTGTGGCAGCGTCTAGCGTCCACGGCAAGGCCACCTGTGCACGCGAGAACCTCCCGCCGGCAGAGCCATCCTCGGTCACACCCCTCGGACGGGCCTGGAGAGCCACCACCGGATTTGGGTGCATTACACGAGTGCCACCAGACGGAGGCGGGTTTGAAGACGCAGACCGAGTAAATTCACCCTATTCTGTCACACTCACCAAAGGCCGACTTAATCAGAAGTTCTATATAATAACGCCAAATACCAATCCAATGAACTAAAAACCCCTCCTTTCGTCATTTCCTTTCCCCCCATTGTAGTTGGAAGGTCAAGGTAAAAGGGAGAAGAGCTAAAAAAAAATAAACTTGAGAGTATCTTGTACGCTGGCGGGCTCTGGGGACCGTGAGACGGGTGAGCGGCGGGCCTGCCCCTTCGGCCCTCTCCCGGCCTTCCCTGGACAGGGATGTCCCCCTGCAGGACCGTGGTGGCGTCCCTCTCAGGGAGTGGCAGAGGAGGGGCAGAACGAACAGTAACTAAGGCTTCGCGTTAAGGTTGCACTTTTAGTCTATTTATTCTATTAGAAAACCACGACAAAGATAGCTAAAACTTATTCCGCCTCTTCAAAAAATGGAAGGGTAACTGACGTGTAATATCCTATCAGCCTCAGGCAGACATCGTATTCATCCGAGATTTCTGTACCGCTCAAAGTGATCCTCGTGATAAGCGTGGTTACCAACTGTCACAAGGTCATTACAGTGTCATCGACTGCATTTCAAACGTCTTTCACCTTTTGATTTCCTTGGTCAAGCTGTAAGTCCCGCAGTGCTCTTTCCAGTTTTGACTTCTCATCTAATGCCTGTGTTGCCTGTAATCAGATTTAAACAAAACACCCTCAGTATTTATTCTGTAAGCAGCTCTTTCAAGAATTTTGGTGAAGTATTTCTCGGTTACCTGTATTTCAATGGTCTTCAGCCTCGACTTCAATTTCTCATTCTCTTCTTGAAGTCGTTCAATTTCCTTTGTGAGTAAATTCAAGGTTTATTATTTTAGCTACGGTCTTTTCAATACTTGAAGTTGTTTCGCTTCAAAGTTCAATTTCAAAACTAAATTTAATTATTTGTCAGCTCAAACATCTGCGTGCCCTGGTTCCTGGTGACATCCAGTCGCACCCAGCCCATTGGCCTCCACAGCTGTGTGTCACTTGTGGTCTCTAAGCCTCTTTCACAGTCTCTCAGGCTCCCTTCAGGCCTCCGTTCTCAGCCTTCTTCCAAAGTCTCCCTCTCCTGCCATCTCTCACCTAGCTGATCCTGCAACTCTTGGGGCTTTTCACGGCCAACACCTGCACTTATCCTAGAAACACAGCCTTTTTTTTTTCTTTTAATGTTTTAAAATTTTATTTATTTTGAGAGAGAGAGGGAGGGGAGGAGCAGAGAGAGAGGGAGAGAGAATCCCAAGCAGGCTCCACGCTGTCAGCAGAGAGGCTGATGCGGGGTCAGTCTCACAAACGGTAAGATCATGACCTGAGCAGGGGCGCCTGGGTGGCGCAGTCGGTTGAGCGTCCGACTTCAGCCAGGTCACGATCTCGCGGTCCGTGGGTTCGAGCCCCGCGTCGGGCTCTGGGCTGATGGCTCAGAGCCTGGAGCCTGTTTCCAATTCTGTGTCTCCCTCCCTCTCTGCCCCTCCCCCATTCATGCTCTGTCTCTCTCTGTCCCCCCCCCCAAAAAAACCAAAAAAACAAAAAAAAAACGTTGAAAAAAAGATCATGACCTGAGCCGAAATCAAGAGTCGGACGCTTAACCGACTGAGCCCCCCCCAGACACCCCCTAAAAACACAGTCTTTATCAGTGCAACGCTCTACACCCAAGCCGCTAGGCGCTTCTGACTGAACTTGGCCAGAGGCCTTGGCTCCAAGCAGCTCCATCCGAGGGTCAGCAGGGAGGCCAGTCCCTACGCTCAACACAGGCATCGGGCCCGAGAGCACCGCACTCCGTGCCTAATCACGCCGGCTCCCCTTCCGGCCCTCGCTGCTGCCCACGCCCCCTTTTCTTCCCACAGACAATTTATTCTGCCTTTAACCTTCAGCCCAGCTCAGGAACCACCTTCCCCCAAATCTGTCCTCAACCACTTGGATCCGGAACTGTCTTCTCTGCCACCCTGAGGCACAGACGTTAGCATTCTCCTATCTGTTTCTAGACTGTTAATTCTCCCTTCTCAATGAGACCGCAAGGTTTTGGAGGGCAAGAGACTAGGGACTACACTGCTCTTTACCTAACAGCATCCAGCATAATGTTGGGAACACAGGAGCCATGAAAATTGTTCATAGATTAGTAATTAATTTTTATTAACCTTCCTAATAAAAAAATCCCATCGTTGTTATTGCAGACTGTAAACTTCAAATGTCTGTTAATAAACACTGTCCAAAACGCCATGCCCTTCGCTTCGCCATCAAAAGACACAATTAAGAGCTGCTTTAGACTTTCTGGAAGGTGAGTGCCCTCTCCTGGCCCACTGGAACCACGAAATAAAGTGACTACAGTGGACTGATTATCCTCCATGGACCCGAGCCCCAGTCAAACCCCCCTCCCTCAGGGTCTCCCCCCTACAGTTGTGCAGGCACCGGATGAGAGGGTTTGCCTTTCTCCAAGCGAGGGCAGCGTTACCTTGTTCAGGAGTTCTGTTCCGCCCTCATTTAGTGGAGCAAGCTTTGGCTTCAGGGTATCTAGGACGGGCTGACACAAAAGAAAGAAACCAAACCAAAATCACCACAGAAGAAATCACATGTAATCACTCAACATTTGCACTTTCTTTCTTTTAAAAAAAATTTTTAAGTTTATTTATTTATTTTTGAGAGAGAGAGTGGGAGGGGCAGAGAGAGAGAGAGAGAGAGAGAGAGAGAGAGAGAGAGAGGGAGAGGATCCCAAGCAGGCTCCACAGCATCAACACCGAGCCTGAGGTGGGGCTCAAACTCATTACCATGAGACCATGACCTGAGCCAAAGTCGGACGCTCGACTGACTGAGCCACCCAGGCGCCCCTCGACATTGCACTTTCTAAGTGGAAAACACCGTGTAAACATATCCACTGGATGTCAGCTCCACAGGGTGGGTAGGGGTTTTTGTTGGTTTGGTTCTCTGCTACATCCCGTGACTACGACAGTGCCTGGCCCACAGCGCCCAAACACATCAGAAATGCACATGAAACCCACCCTCCCCAAATCCTTTAAAGAGCTACAGACGGAAGGGAAAGGCGGGAAGAAAGGAAGAAGGGAAGGTGCTCGAAGCCAAAGCGGATAGAGGTCCCAGCCTCTGCGGACAGGAGTTTTCACCTGTTTCAGGGAGTTGAAACAGATGTGCGCAGGAGCCCGGGTCTGGGAAAAGCGCACGAGTGCAGCTACCCCACAGGCGAAGGAGAACTTGGCCCAAGTTCCCTGGCAGTTTGGCGATGCGCATTAGCAAGTGAATCCATGCCCTCTGACCCGGAAACGCGCTCCGGGGGAATAAGTGGCAAATTGGTTTGTAAAGAAGGGTATGGCGTATGTCCGTGGATTCGGCTCGGCAGTATCCTTCTATCAGGCGCCAGGGAGCGTTCGGGGTGCGGCTGGTTAAGGGCTCGTGGCAAATACCGAGAATGAGTGAAAAGAGAAGTAGGTCACTGGTCACTACTAGGTTCGTCTCCACTGGACAGAGGAGCACAACAGGGCCCGGCTGCCTCAGGCAACCCGCTCAAGGTCACTCGGGGAGAGAGCCAGAGCCGGGACGAATGCCCGTGCTCCGCACCATCTGGGCGAAGAGCTTATATGGCAGGGAGCAGGGTGGACGGCAGGGATTCCGTGTGTGAGTGTGTGTGTGTGTGAGTGTGTGTGTGTGTGGGGGGAGACAGAAGCAAGTGTTCACAGTTACTTTTTCCAAAGCTCTCTTTCTTTTGCCTGAAAACAGGAATGTTTGAATTCTGCTCTTGAATTAAACGCGTTCCTTTGAGGGTTTGCACTTGCACCTCTGAACCGCTCTGAGCACCTCGAGGATACTAAACGTCGGCCACTAGGGTGTGGGCTTCGCCAAATTACCTTTTTATTCGAAGACGTAAATTCTGCTTTTTCGAATTCTGCAACTTGTTCTAATAATTCTCTGGAAGATACAAATGTGAAAAAAAATCCATTTAAAATAGATTTGCATCCCAGACACAGAAGAATAAAACCACTGGCACCGATCTCCCACAACACGCCGGAGAGAACAGAGCACCCTGTCGAAAATGATTCCTAGTTACCAACGGCCCAGAGCCCGACCCAGGGACCGGATTTGAATATTCCACGGCACCTAGGATCGTGCGCCTACTGAGCATACGCCCTAATCGCCAGAACGAAACTACAGTGTTCGTTCAAATCTGGCACAACTGGCCCTCAATTCCGTATTTCTGAGGTGTTGGAGGGAGACTGCTCTCAGGCATGATTTACATCGAGCGTTAGCTAGTGAATGTTCAAGAAACGCAGGCTGGCTCTCAGAGAGTAAGTAGCCTCGGAGACATGGGATTAGTTCGTGATACCTACTGAAAAAAAGAGTATCACCCCTCCTGGGAAGGAATATGCTGTGCCTCTGAGGAAGAAAGCTGGGTCGGGAATGAACCAACCACGTGACTGTTCCCTTTCCCTGCCCCGGTGCGGTCCCAGCCTGGATCCCGGGGGCGGCCCACGCGGGCGCCTGGGAGGGGACGTGGTGCCCACTCTCCCAAGCTTACCGTGGCGCTTTCTCCAAGTTCTCCCAGCAGCTCTCCCTGGCGGCCAGTGGACCGAACTGGTTTTCCTGCCCGGTTCAGGAAGGCCATCCCAGGGTGGTTCACCAATCTCTGCCGCCGGGCCTGGGGGCGGTCAGTCTTTCCTCATTTCCGGCCCGGCTTCTCTTAGACTAAGTTTGAATTTCATTTTACTTTTTTTTTTTTTTTTTTTTTTTTTTTTTTTTTCTAGTTTTGAATTTTTTTTTTTCACGCTTATTCATTTTTGAGAGACAGAGACAGAGCAAGAGAGGAAGGGGCGGAGAGAGAGGGAGACACAGAATCCGAAGCAGGCTCCGGGCTCCGAGCTGTCGGCACAGAGCCCGACGCGGGGCTTGAGCCCACGGACCATGAGATCATGACCTGAGCAGAAGTCGGACGCTTAACCGACTGAGCCACCCAGGCACCCCTACTTTATTTGTTGTTGTTAATGTTTATTTATTAATTTTAAGAGAGAAAGAGAACGAGGGTGTGCATGTGCGAGTGGGGAGGTGGGTAGGAGCAGAGAGGGAGAAAGAGACACATGACAGAGAGAGAGAGAGAGAGAGACAGACAGACAGACAAAGAGAGAGACCGAGAGAGACAAAGAGAGAGACAGAGAGAGACAGAGAATCCCAAGCAGATTCTTGTCAGTGCAGAGCCTGACGTGGGGCTCGAACCCATGAATTGTGAGATCATGACTGAGCTGAAAACAAGAGTCAGATGCTTGACCGACTGAATCACCCAGGCACCCCCTCATTTTACTTTGTTTAAATTAATGAGCTCTTTGATACCTTCGAGATTACAAAACAGTTTTGTTTTTTGTTTACATTTCCTATTTTAAAGTAAGTGTATAACTTAAAATGTAATTATAGAAAAAACTGCAATCCTCCCGGTCTGAATTGACGGTATTCGAATTCATCTTTCAGTTGTTTCATAATCTTCATCCCCTCATCGACCTATTATGTCTAAAGACTCATTATAATACAATGCGACCAACAAAGAAATGGGCAGGGATCATTAGTAACAGCCCGAAAAGCAATTCCATGAATCTCAAACGCCTCTATAACACCCGGGATTCGGAGAAACAGAATTCTGAAGAGGACACCGAGCGGCACCTAAGAGATCACTCGGTGGGTACCCAGAGGCCGTCCTGCTGCCCACCCCACGCTTCCTCAGGCCCCGGCCCTGAGATCAGAAGCGGCGCAGACGTTCGCTAACTTCTGAGACCGTGCTGGGGTCTCTACCGTCCTAGCCGCAGAGACGAACGTGTCACCTGTTTTCAAGTTCCGAGATGTCCGTCTGCAGCTTGAGATACCACTTCTCGGCTTGGGAGAAGAGCTGCCGCAGGAGTAACACGTTGGTGTGCGCCGTGTTGATGAGCTCAGACTCCACCTCGCTGTAGACCACGGCCTGCAGCCCGCTCAGGACCTCGGACACCTCGTCCACGGTGAAGGTCTCCTCCACTAGCCTGCGGAACAACCACAGTCCCAGACTTCCGGATGAACGACCCAAACCGTTTACAAAACAAAACGAGACTAAGAGACCCACATTCGGGTCAACCGAGGGGGTGACGGGGTTATTGGGAAAATCTCTTCGGGAACGATCTTCTTTATGAATAAACCGTACTGAAGATACCTGAAGCTCAGTTCACTTTTGGTGTCCGTCTGAACGACCCAATCGCGGGTGTACGTGCCCTCCAATACAAAGTAGGTGCTCAGAAACATTCCCCCAAACGTTTACTTTTTTCTTTACGTTCTCGGTTGAAACATTTTTTTATTTTAATCTCCGCTAAAATCACTCTTCTCACATTTAGCAGTTTCAAGAGTCCCCTAGAAGGTAGTGTTTTTCCTTTCCTTTCCCTTCGTCTAGAATTTCAATAATTGTATGAACTACTCCAATGGTAGCAAATGATTATAAGAAAATAGTTATGTGCTGCTTCTCTTGGCATTCCTTTTATTTTAAGTTTATTTCTTTATTTTGAGAGAGCCAGAGACAGTGCGAGCAGGGGAGGGGCAGAGAGAGAGGCAGAGACAGTGTGGGCAGGGGAGAGGCAGAGAGAGAGGCAGAGAGAATCCCAAGCAGGCTCTGCACTGTCAGCGCAGCCTCCGACACGGGGCTTCAACTCACGAGACCTTGAGATCACGACCTGAGCCGAAGCCGAGAGTTGGACGCTTAGCTGACTGAGCCACCCAGGCGCCCCTTTCTCTTGGCATTCTTGAGGGCCAAATGAAAAAAACAACAAAAAACAACTAACTTATCTTAGGTGCAGCTCCTCTGAGCACTGACCATTCCCTAAAAAGGAAGCCATCATCAACAACAGCATTAAAACCCACTCTCCCACGGGGAAGGTTTAGGTTGGGAGGGACCTCAGAGCCATTTTCTTCAACCCCCTGGCGTTCCAGATGGGGGCGGGGGATGCAGGCTCAGAGGGCAGGGATGACATGGCCCTGGTCCCACGGTGGGGGTGACTCAAGCCCACAATCATTTCCGGGAGTCTCAGCAACATGCCCAACAGCCGAATCCCGAAAAAGCTCCTAATTTAAAGGACAGTTTGACAGTAAGACCGTCTCTCCCCTCCTGGCCCCAACCCTCAGCCGCTCAGGGGACAGGAGTGATGGCCCCATCACGCCTCACTTCCAAAAGGACAGAATTAAGAGCCCACCAGTTTGACCAGAGTTATACTCAAGTTAGTAGTATTTGTTACCATTCTTCAATGTTTCATTTAGTCAGAATGAGCCAGTCTAAAAAAACCACAACTTCAACTATTTTTGGGGAACACCCTTATTCAATACATCAACCATCTTCCTCTATTCTTTAGTAGAACAAACCAAATCTGCTTCCACTTTTTTTTTTTTGGCAACCCAAGTTCATGGTTATGAACAGCAATTAAGGCACTCGCTGTATAAAGTGAGGGATGAAGTATCTTCCGTGGCTCACAGCCGGGCCAGTGCAATTGTTGCTTTCATCTGCTGGGGGTCAGGAGACCAGCTGACCAGGTTACATCGGTGGGTCGAACACGTAACGGTCTACAGCTGGTGGCGTCCCCTATCGTGTGCCGCGCGTGGCTTTGCAACACGTGTGGCTCACGCGGAGGCCTGTCTCATTTCCATCTCATCTGACATTTAACCGTGCCAAAGTCTGATCCCCGAGTAATCTGGGGTCTCTTTACTACTTAGTCCTTTCCTTTCATTGGTTTCCCTATGTTTCTCCAGACCAAACATGGATTTTCCACGGACTTTAATTACATCCCACGACAGGCTCAACCAAACTAATGATCATCTCTTGCCGTATACCCACGAACAGTGTCGGTACCAGCGCAAGCTTTCTGTGGTTTCCTGCTGTTTTCCCCCCTCCCAGGTCTTCAGTATCAACGGCGTAGGTGTCTTCTTGCTAACTGCCACGCCTCATGGCTCGAATCCTTTCATTAATAGCTCAGGTAATCCAAGTTCTGGGGTCTTTAATACAGCAAGGCAATCATTAACCCACAAGCACTTCGTCATTTCCTGACGGCCCTTTCGAAACTTTGCAATCTCATCATTATCCTATGTGTACGTTTGGTAACAGATTGCTCCCACCCCAACCCGGTTTCCCGAATTTCACCTATCCACGGGGCTTGGTGGAGTCACTCTCAGGGCGGACCCGATCATGATAATCCCGGCAATGGTTCGTATGGCCTCCGCAGCCATATCCCCACACCGGATACCGGAGAGGATCCGGGTTTCCCCTGGGGTTCCCTTTGAGTCCTCTGATACCTGCTCTCCTTGAGGTCTTGGAAGCAGGAATCGACAGTTTTGAGTCTCAAGCCTCTTCTGGAACGAGCAAAACGCATGTAGTTAATAACTTCGTTTTGATGGTGTTCATTTAGGCCCAACTCTGCCTAAAAGAGAGAAAAGCAGATGTTAGTCTTGGAGGTGTGACGAAGGAACCAACGATGAAGATACAGAAGGGACCGCTACATGTCCACCAAATTCCATTCTTCCCTTCCTCCCGGGGAAATGGCTGCCCAACTGGAGGACACTTCCCAGCCCTTCCTGTGGCCACTCGATTGATGCTCAGTACTGGATGTGAGCGGAAGAGGTGAGGCCTACTCCAGAGCATGGGCCTTCCGACAGGGTCGGGTCTTTGCCGCACCTATTTCCCTGAGACCTGGAGCGG